TCGCTGAGTCTTGTTTCTCAGGTACTTTGCTGTCTTATCCACTGTCCATCCATTTATCCACTGCTTTATCCAGTGTAGTGTCTTCCCTATCACTCCTGCCTGCATCTCCAGTTTGTGCACTATTCTCTTATGTGGTACTGTGTCAAAGGCTATCTGGCAGTCCAGAAATATGCAGTCTGCCCATCCCTCTTTCTCTCTTGCCTAATTTTTGTTGCCTGGTCATAGAACTCAATTAACCCTGTTAGGCATGATTTGCCATCTCTGAACCCATGTTGATGTTGTGTTACAAAGTTCTTTCGCTCCAGATGTTCTACTAGCTTTTTTCGCACAATCTTCTCCATCATCTTGCATGGTATGCAAGTTAGGGACACTGGCCTGTAGTTCAGTGCCTCCTGCCTATCACTCTTCTTGTATATTGGGACTACATTGGCCGACTTCCAAATTTTTGGCAGTTCACCTGTTACCAGTGATTTGTTGTACACCATGGAGAGTGGTAGGCACAGAGCTTCTGCTCCTTCCTTTAGAATCCATGGTGATATTTTATCCGGGCACTTTGTCACGTCGAGATCTAGCAGATGCTTCCTCACCTCCCCACTGGTAATCCTCTAGTGGTGTCTGGTTTGATGTTCCCTCTCTTATCTCTGGGACTTCTCATTGCTCTGAGGTGAAGACCTCCTGGAATGTCGTACTGAGATCCTCGCACACTTCCTTGTCGTTTGTAGTGAATCTTTCTGCCCCTATCCTCAGTTTCATTACCTGTTCCTTCACTGTTGCTTTCCTCCTGATGTGGCTATCCAGCAGTTTGGGTTGAGTCTTTGCCTTGCTCGCTATGTCGTTTTCATATTACCTCTCTACCTCTCTTCTCACCCTGACGTATTCATTCCTGGCGCTCTGGCATCTTTCTCTGCTCTCTAGTGTTCTGCTGTTTCTATAGTTTCTCCACGCCCTTTTACTTAGCTGCTTCGCCAGCTTACAACTCTGATTAAATCATGGGTTTCTCATCTGCAATTTCTTTTTTTTTTATTTTGGACTGGGACGAACTTGTCTGCTGCCTCATCCCCTGTGTGTGCTCACACTGTGGCGCCCCCCCGGGGTGTGTGTACCTGTGGTTGGCTCCGTGTCGCCACCGTGGCCCCCCCCCGGGGTGTGTGTACCTGTGGTTGGCTCCGAGTCGCCACCGTGGCCCCCCCCCCCGGGGTGTGTGTACCTGTGGTTGGCTCCGTGTCACCACCGTGGCCCCCCCCCCGGGGTGTGTGCGGAGTCAGAGCGTGCGACACAGACTAACTTAGTGCACGTTGCCCGGTGTGTGCGCCAAGAGATACATTATTCATAAGAGCTGGTCCATGCACTCAGGTCCCTCCTCCTCCTCCTCCTCCTCCTCGTGTGCTCTCAACTGTACATTCCTGCCCGGGTCATCATCCGGGACACTCGCCACCTGACCACCTCACACCACATGTGTGTGTGTGTGTGCTTACTTACCGAGTCCTAGTTACGCTTGCAGGGTCGAGCATCCGCTCTTAAGCCCCGCCTTTCGACCATCATTAGTTCAACGCAGTGACTCCTTTTACTCGTTTTTCTTAGAACATAAAAATTTTATTTAGGCAAAAGTATATAATCACATACGTAGGATATAAGCAGCTTGTCGGAGTCATGGGTCGGCAGCTACGTCGCCTAAACCCACTATTGTGTAGAGATGTTTAAACATTCAGAATATATGAAATTATCTTCGAAAACTTTCTCTTCTGGTTCGTTCGAAATATTTACGACTCATTGAAAAGGTTCTTTCTGACATTCCTGTGACTCACCTGTGTTTCCAATTGCGTTATCTTTTTCCTATGCCTTTATTTGAACATTGTTTCCGTATCTACTTTGTCAATTACTTTGTCTCTTTAGTATCTTGTACGTCGTTATTATGTCTGCCTTATTCCTCCTTTCTTTTAATGTAGTGAGGCCCGGTTCCCTCAGTCCTAGTAGCTCAGGAACCAACCTTCTTGCATATTTTTGGACGTGTTCAAAATTTGTTGTGTGTTTCTGTAGTACGGGTTCCATACTGGTGCAGCATACTCAGTAACAGGTCTGACAGAGGCTCTATACAGCGCTCGGAAGGAATCTTTGTCCCCCTTCCCCCCCCCTCCCCCTAGTCCCTGAAGGATACCCGGACCTTTACCAGTCCTGAATGTCCTGCTCTCGTCAGTCTGCTCATCCCAACTTGTGTACACTCCTAAGTCTTGCTTTCTCTTCAGCAGTGGGACGTTACCTTCCCGTCATCCTATACTGTATGTGAGGTCTTCTTGCTCCACTCCCTAGCCTCATAACCTTACATTTGTCAGGGATAAAATCTAGTGGCCATTTCTCAGACCATCTCTGGAAATTGTCTCGGTCGCCCTGTATAAGGACAGAAGTCCTCCAAGCAGTCCTTTAACCTGTCCTTTTAAAAATAACGTCGCTATTGGCCGTTTGCCCGTATGGCCGAAAGTGGACGTAATTTGAAAAAAAAAAAATGAAAATAAATTTGGGATTTTTTTTTCAACAACAGTTAGTTAAAGGTCCTCTGTGTTACGGCCATAATGGGTCGCAACCGGGTTCTTTTCTGGTGGTACTTAAGTTCTGGTATCCGACCCCAAGTTAGTAGTGGCTTTCAAGGAGTGAGCTCGGTAATGCAAGTAAAACAAAAGGGGGGGGGGTTGTATTTAATACTATACTTCATAAAATGTCGATATATTTAAATATAACTTCTTCTATCACCTCGTAAATAATCCTAACAAAAGTATTAGTACACCTAATATGTACAAAACTGTCTCATGGAACATTAAGCGCTCTACGATGCTGGCGATGCAGTCTTGTACGCTACCGTGTTCCCTCATCCATAGTACTGTCCTCAGCAGGTACCAGGAAACAACAATGAGTCTACCCTGGCCACGGGCCAGCCAAACCTCAGTCTCACCAAGTGCTTCCTCGTGAAGGCCCTCAATTACAGTCCAGCCTGGTGCTGGCAGATACCTTCAGCCTCACGCTGCTGGGCCACTTCACGTGCAAGTACTAGGGTAGCGAGCCCTAGGCAGGAGCTTCGTGCAACTCGCTGGTTACTCTCCTCTTCAGCACCTTAGTCATCTCTTCTATTAGCCAGCCCCGGGTACGGCGAATCTCGTCACTGCCACTCCACAGGCAGACAGTAGAACACTTAAAAGTTCTCTTCCGGCGGCGGATCACTGCTTCCTTAAAGCAGACTGGTGTAGAGACCTTGGCTGCCTGGGTAGACTGACTGTTCTTGTATCACAGCAGCCCTACGTCGACTCTGTGAATACAGACTCGTCATCAGTACACTGGGACACTACATGGGACCACTAGGAAACAACACTTACTGACTTAGACACATACACCCAACTCCCCCTACAATAGATGGCGCTGATTTTCTTGGCGCCACCTCACCAGAGGTCAGCCCCAGCTACCTCTCGAGCTACCCGGACAAGAATCTAGCATTTCTGGTTGGTATAGTCTTGTCACTACTAGATGGCGTCGTCCAATTATTGGGGGTTTCGGGAGCGGACTCACAGATGGCGTTGACGTCGCTGCTCCATGCTCTGACGATGGACTTGGGTTCGTAACACTCTGGTAGGTTAGGTGGGCAGGAAATTCTCATAAAGTTTCAAAACGTTATGAAAAACGTTAATTGAAAGTTTCCTATTCTAACCTTTCCGAGTAAGCCTGACGACTCAAACAGAAAACGGGACAGTACGTCACTTTTGTGAGTCGATTTCATTTCAAATTACGTCCACTTTTGGCCGTAGGATCCATACGAGCCAAAAGTGACGTTATTTTTAAGAGGACGGGTTGCTGAGTCGCCCCATTAGCTCAACATCGTCAGCCAACCTGGATATAAATGAACTTCCTTCTTCTATTAGATCATTTTAATATATATTAGGAACAAGATGAAACCTTGTAGTGATCGTCTCTCTCTCTCTCTCTCTCTCTCTCTCTCTCTCTCTCTCTCTCTCTCTCTCTCTCTCTCTCTCTCTCTCTCTCTCTCTCTCTCTCTCTCTCTCTCTCACTCTCACTCTCACTCTCACTCTCACTCTCTCTCTCTCTCTCTCTCTCTCTCTCTCTCTCTCTCTCTCTCTCTCTCTCTCTCTCTCTCTCTCTCTCTCTCTCTCTCTCTCTCTCTCTCTCTCTCTCTCTCTCTCTCTCTCTCTCTCTCTCTCTCTCTCTCTCTCTCTCTCTCTCTCTCTCTCTCTCTCTCTCTCTCTCTCTCTCTCTCTCTCTCTCTCTCTCTCTCTCTCTCTCTCTCTCTCTCTCTCTCTCTCTCTCTCTCTCTCTCTCTCTCTCTCTCTCTCTCTCTCTCTCTCTCTCTCTCTCTCTCTCTCTCTCTCTCTCTCTCTCTCTCTCTCTCTCTCTCTCTCACTCTCTCTCTCTCTCTCTCTCTCTCTCTCTCTCTCTCTCTCTCTCTCTCTCTCTCTCTCTCTCTCTCTCTCTCTCTCTCTCTCTCTCTCTCTCACCAGAGCTCTATCACCACCATAAACACTTCACTGGAGCTCTATCACCACCATAAACACCACCGGAGCTCTATCACCACCATAAACACCACCGGAGCTCTATCACCACCATAAACACCACCGGAGCTCTATCACCACCATAAACACATCACCGGAGCTCTATCACCACCATAAACACACCACCGGAGCTCTATCACCACCATAAACACACCACCGGAGCTCTATCACCACCATAAACACCACCGGAGCTCTATCACCACCATAAACACACCACCGGAGCTCTATCACCACCATAAACACACCACCGGTGCTCTATCACCGCCATAAACACTTCACTGGAGCTCTATCCCCCATAAAGACGCTCTCTCATGTATAGAAATACTGCATCAAAACCCCGCCATCTGCATTAGTGTATAATTTGCTCTATACATTACATTTGCGTGTATTGACCAAGTTTGTCACCTGCCTTAACGACAACGTGTGGTTGACCTGTTTTTATTTCGCCGGCAGGTGTGTCGCTCAAGTGTGGCGAGGAGATCCGCCTTCGCAGAGGAGAGAAGAAGATCCTTCGCTTCTGGAGCTCTCAAGACGAATCTCTAAATGTTGATGTCTTGTCGACAAGCAGGCCAGGAGGAGATGGGGCGGCTCCTGAGAACGGAGTAATTACAGTAGATACTCCGGGTACAGTCTCCTCTAACCCGGATGCAACATCCACCAACCTGGAAAACAATTTACGAAGTGACCTGGAATTTAACAACGAACGGAACGATGCACCAACTGACACCGGAAGCTTGAACCAACTTCACTACTCATTCGGCACCAGGCTGAGAGTCCCTGGCGAGGCCTCCACAACGAGGGGACCTGACCTGGCGCCACCTGCACCACACCACACCAACACCTCTGTACACCACCACTCTCACACAATCTCACCTCAACAGAAAGATAAGGAAAATATTAACAAAAGTCAGACAGAAGACGATCTCCCTTCGCATGATGGACAAGCGCAGAGTCTGTATCACATAGACGGTAAAGCTAAGATCAAGGACGTGAGGAATCTCACCTCGGGAGACGTCGACACGAAGAATGACTATGAGAATTCCATCACAAGTAGTGAGGACACCAGCCTGTACGAGAACACATCAACAACGTCTGAAGAGCCTCACCTGACCACCGTCAGCGCTGAAGCAACAACGTCCGCGCCCACACGTATACAACAAGATGCTGCACAGAACGACGAAGCTTCAAACAATTTTTCGGCAACTACATCCGATTACGTGGAGCTAAAATCAGCGATCTACACAACACTACAGCCACCACAATATCTACGGCCTCAAGCAGCAGTCGAGTCCAGGACGGCCACCACCACAGCCGGGGACACAGACGAAAGGACACCAACAGAAGCCTCTGGAGAAGGACCTTCGAAGACGGCTGTAGACAGGGAGTCGCTGACTGAAGACACTGTGACAACTCCAGCTACGTCTGCCGAGGTCACGGTCACCAGCGTCGCTCCACTTGACGATCAACAAACTGCCAATGCAACAACCGCTACACAAAGGACTCCGTCTCAAGAGCCAGAGAGCGAGACAAACAAAGACGCAACACGAGACAACACAACGGGGACGCCGAAGACAGATCATCTGGATGACATTATTTTCACAACTGCTGAAGATGACGTCATGTTTACAGAACAGTCTTTGTTATACACAGAAGAACCAGCAACACAAGACACTCACACACGTGTTGTGGCGGGCTTCATACATGCACAAACTAACGACTCGCAGGTAATGAAAACATCTGCAGATGAGGAATTAATGAGCATATCCGCCACGGAGCAAACAGACGCAAAAGACACCACGCAAGCAGCAACACCAACCACAGACAGACTACCAACTGACGCAAAGGAAACTATGGAAGCAACAGATGTTACCACAAACAGGCTACGAACTGACGCAGAAGAGACTGTAGAAGCAACCACAGACAGACTACCAACTGACGCAGAAGAGACTGTAGAAGCAACCACAGACAGACTACCAACTGACGCAGAAGAGACTGTAGAAGCAACCACAGACAGACTACCAACTGACGCAGAAGAGACTGTAGAAGCAACCACAGACAGACTACCAACTGACGCAGAAGAGACTGTAGAAGCAACCACAGACAGACTACGAACTGACACAGATGAAACTACAGACGCAACCACGGACAGACTACCATCTGACGCAGAAGAAATTTCAGAAGCAACCACATACAGACTACCAACTGACGCAGAAGAGACTGTAGAAGCAACCACAGACAGACAACGAACTGACGCAGAAAAAACTACAGAAGCAACCACAGACAGACTCCGAACTGACGCAGAGGAAGCTACAACAGTAACAGAAGCAACCACAGACAGACTACCAACTGACGCAGAAGAGACTGTAGAAGCAACCACAGACAGACTCCGAACTGACGCAGAGGAAGCTACAACAGTAACAGAAGCAACCACAGACAGACTACCAACTGACGCAGAAGAGACTGTAGAAGCAACCACATACAGACTACCAATTGACGCAGAAGAAACTACAGAAGCAACTACAAACAACAGACTAAGAACTGAGGCAGAGGACGTTACAGAAGTAACCACAGACAGGGTTCAAACTGCCGCAGATGATAACACAGAAGAAACAGAAACACCCTCAGACAATTTACCAACAGACACAGAATACAATACTCAATCAACAGAAACAACAACAGAAACCCAGACAACCGACGAAGAAGAAATTACAGAAGCAGCTGAAGCAACCACAGACAGACAACCAACAGGCGAAAAAGTCATCATAAAAGCAACAGAGAAGTTACCAACCGAACTACAGGACAATGGAGCCGAAGGCAAATTAGACCGAGAGGCGGATCCCACGACAGCAGGTGGTGAGAGTGACCGCGGGCAGGTCGCGGAGGCCGCCGGCGGCCCTCACACCCTCGGTACTGCGGCTCACAACGACACGCACTTCGTATCCCTCACACACTCACCTAAAGACAGCGAACCAGTCACAGAACTTTACAATACGGGCGCTCCCACTGACGCGAGGACGGAACAACCCACAGAACAGACCTTCAAGGACGAAATCACAACCTTTGCCTCCGTCACAGAGAGTGAAGCTTGGGTCGGTCAAGCAGGTCTCATCAAGCAGGAAGAAACAACTGAAGAAACCACTAGAGAAACCCCAGACTCAATCTCAGATCCCCCAACACGGGTCTCTATAGTCACCACAGAAGAAAGCATCAAAACTACGAGGGAAGAGGCAGTAATCCCTACCACTGAACAAGACATGGCTGTTACCACAGCTTTCACAGACACCACTGGCAGGACAACCATGGACAATACAGATGAATCTACAACAAAAACCGTCATAACTGTAAGCAAGATCACAAATACCAGAGATTCTGTTGGAGAAACAACAACAAAATCCACGACTGACAACACAGAATCAGCCACACGACCCATAGTAGCTAGTCCAGAACACACAGAATACCCTGAAGATACAACGCAAATTTATATAGGCACCAGAGAAGATTCCATTACAAGTGCCACAGAAGAAACCATTAAAAATCTCGCAGAAGGAACCATAGTAGACACTACAGAGGCCAGTATTACAAACTCTGGCTGGTTCGACTACGGTATTCAAAATTATCTGAACGACATATATTATTACATCAACGGTGACGTCAATGAGACGACCCTGAACACAGTGAAGGTCGGTGGTGAAGGACATCAGACCACGACAATGTCTTCTGAAGGAGAGGAACCGGTCAGTACAGAAGCCATGATTACTGTTGTTGAGAATGCTCAAAATGCCCATCATAACGAGGTGGTGGGAACTCTAGATACCACAGAGATAATAAAGGAGCAAGATTTTAGTGATGTCTCATCTGGCGGCGATGTCTCATCAGGCGGCAATGTCTCATCAGGCGGCGATGTTCTCTCTGGTGGCGATGTTTTCTCTGGCGGCGATGTCTCTTCTGGCAGCGATGTTTCTTTTGGTGGCGATGTCTCCTCTGGCGGCGATGTTCCTTCTGGTGGCGATGTCTTCTCTGGAATCACCACGACCGCGAGGCCAACCGACACAGTCGGTACTCAACACAAAGACATTTTTGACAGTATCATAGATCGCTTAACTCAGGCTCTTGAGCAAATTCCAGAAGATGATCTCTTGCGAGAAAATAATCCTGCCCTTGATATTGATAGTTTGCTTGGCGTCCAGCATAACGCAGCCTCTGCAGCACACCTGCCTGCAGAGCACCGCAATTCTGTCCTACCAACCACACACCGGCCCACGGAGCACAGTGATTTAGTATTACCAACCATGCACCACACCAGCGACAACGGAGGCGACGCCACCACGCAGCTAAGCACACCTGGCCTCCTGCCGACGATAGGCTCCCTTCCCATGGGCGGATTTCTGAATCTGAGTGCGAACCCAATATCAGAAGTTAGTACCCATACTTCCGTGAATGCAGTGGACAACCCAAGGCAAGCTCTTGTCGAGGAATCAGCGGAGACAACTACAGAAGTCCCAACAGAAGACCGGACGGAAGGTCCATACTACGAATACCCAAAAATAACAGAAGAAGATTTCAAGGGTTATGACTATTATGAAGACTTAGTCGACTCCCTGACTGCCCAAGACAGGCCCTATAAGGACAAGGACGAGAACATAAGACAGACTACAAGTGCCACGGAGACGCAGGACGTGTCTGAACGAACTACCCAGCCTATGGGCTTCATCCACAGCATTCCAGAATTCAATCCTGAGGTGGAGATAATTAATACCGAGCGCGTGACCACAGTGATCCCCGGGACAGAACATGCGGGAGAAGAATCACATGCTGATGAAATGTCTGATAATATCTCCAAAGATGATTTTGTATTGGATGGTGATGATGCCAGTAAAAGCGAAGGATTCACTACTGTAAATGTTCCCATTAATGAAAGAGAGGAGGGCGAGACAACCTCTCTTGCTATAGCGGAAGGCACCACATTGGACTCAGACACTGATACTGACTCAACAACAGAATTCTCCATTCCTCTACTAATCCTCCGCAACCAAGAGATGCTCAACAACCTGTTGAAGAGTCAACACATGAACAGCGAGAGCAAGGTGGTCATCAAGGAACAGGGCAGCAAGGTCGCTATCAACACCCCTTCTCACCAACTCGACAAGCATACAACTGAGGACCTTGCTTCTCACGCCCAGGATCTTGTTGATACGAGTACCGTTTCTCTTCTTACACTTGATGCAACAATTGCACCAACTACTTATCTGCCACCAGCGTCAGTAGATCATCAGGAGAAAAACTCATCGCCAGCAGCTTCAGGCACAATTATGACAGGAAATCACTCGGAAGAGAACGATTATGAAAAAACTGTCCCTGAACTTAGTATAGAGAACACTGCTACAGAGTTAAAAGACACTGTTGCAAGCAAAGTTATATCTGCTCACCCACAAAGTAAAACTGAGCAAAATGCCATTAGCAAGAAGGAAGGAGTGAAGTACACTATTGAGGGGTCTGGAGGGGGTGAACAAGAGGAGGACATCTCATCTAATATGACACATCACATCCTCGAGGAATCAAATAAATCTTCGTTGGAACTCTCAAACCAAGAAGCTGACATATTACAGGAATCAGAGACGCCAAACAAGACACCTCTAACGGGTAACTACAGAGGTACCACACAGATGCAAGAAATTACAAACATCGGCCATGTCTCTGGCACGACAGAGCTCAACTCAACTTACAGCTCACTATGGAAGACAGTAGCTGCCACGACAAATGTTACAGAGGGTGATAGTATTCATAACAGCAGCGGTTCTCAAGGAACAACAGAATATTATGACGCCACTGCTGGTGAAGGTGAGGGTGATGATGCAAGCTCCAGCTCATCACACACTACGATGGAGCCTGAGATTGATAAGACCACAGAAGTGTCTGACCTGGCTACCATCCTAATTCCTTACTCCTTTGTCCAGTACCTTGGCCAAGCCTCCAGGACCCCTCCCAGAGATGAGATCGATGGGAACGAACATATAGCAGAACATGAAGAACTTGAGCCTGTTAATAGTGTGGAAAGCTCAAAAGGCGACAGAGAGGGAAGTCCAGTTCATGGAGAGAAAGAAAGTCCTTTTAAAAATAGTGATGAACCTCTAGAGAGTGGTGGTGGAGACATACCAGTTTATATACATGAAGAAAGCTCAGTTCATGGGGGAGACAAAAACCCCATACAAGGTAATGAAGAAAGCCCGGAGTATGGGGAAGAAAATCCAACATACGTTGATGAAGAAAGTTCACAATATGGTGGAGAAAGACCGGTGTATGGTGGAGAAACACCTGTGTATGGTGGAGAGAGGCCGGTGTATGTTGGAGAAAGACCGGTGTATGGTGGAGAAAGACCGGTGTATGGTGGAGAAAGACCAGTGTATGGTGGAGAAAGACCATTGTATGGTGGAGAAAGACCGGTGTATAGTGGAGAAAGACCAGTGTATGATGAAGATAGACCAGTATATGGCGAAGAAAGACCAGTGAATGGTGGTGGAGAAAGGCCTGTAAACGCTGATTTAATAATACCAGAGCTTGAAGGCGGAGAACGACTGAAGTATCCTGCTGAAGGAAGACCAGTTTACAGCAGTGAGGAACTCCCAACTCCCACCGAGAAAAGTCCAATAGAGAGCGAGGTAGAGAGTTCACCGTCCAGCAGCCAGGGAGTCGGAGGAGTCAGCCGTAAAGACGACTCTGAGGTAAATGAGTATGGCGGAGACTCTCCGTTCTTCATCAAGCTGCCGGGAAGCCCTAACGCCGTGCCCGTCTACCTCCAGTACGAGCCCATACAGGTCAAGTACGTCCCCTCCCACCTCCTCCAACATAAAAGTGACAACAATTCCGATCCTGGAAGTCTGGAGGATCATATCGACGGAAACGTCAAGACGCCAGAGGCAACTCAAGAGTCTCTGGAGGCAAAGGTCACGACCCCTGCGTCTGAGGAGCTTACCACGACACAGGATGCCCCTGGGCTGACAGCTGACGACAACGCCCTCGGCAACTCTCTATTGAAAGGAATCTATCGGATACTGGATGACGTAGCTTCAGCCACTAACAGTCAGTTCTCGAATCATCACAGAGATAATGTACATAAAAATGAGAACTTCACCCCTCATAAACCAATAGTCAAGACACCAGACCCGTTCTTCCTGATGGAGGCGCCTCAGCTGGGCAGTCCCAGCATCCCTCCGCTGCACGCACACCGCCTCCCATCTGGCGGTGCTCACGACGGCGACGACTACTCCGTTCATCTCTCCAGCAAACTAAACTTCGGGGGAGGCCGACCAGAGCCACAGGAAGGAACGGCGGGCATTGTGGATGACGTTCCTCTTGGGACGAAGCAGGATATTCTGTACCCAGGGGACTACTACACCCACAACGTGTACACCGGTGTCAACCTTACCTCCCTCATCAACCCAGTGTTCGAACTCACCACCAAGACCACAACACAGTCACACGAGGAACGCATGAACCCCCAGTATACCCCATTCCCCATTACCACCAATCCTCCGCGGAAAACTAACCCAACTCTACATAATATGGTCACACCTCCGACTTATGAAACAGAGTTGTCGGAAAGGCAGGGCGTCGAGGACGATTCTCCCGCAGGCACTCGAACACACAAGCCTCACACCACCCCCGAGTCTCCCCCAAGTGTCGAGTACTCGCCCATACCAGCCACCAATTTCGAGGATTCCTACGACTCGCCTTTCATTCCCGATCATTTCTTCGTCAAGGAGAACCAGATCGCTGGCGGCGAGCACCACCCTCCGGAGGGGTACCCGCTCTTGTACCACGGCCCGCATCACGGTAAGGAAGCTACCCACCTGGACGACACCCGCTGGGTCTCAGCGGCGCCCTTCAGGACATCGGAGGAGGCGGGGATGAAAATGGCGGCAATGACTCCACAGGGCACGGTGAAGGACACCACCACCACCGCCCCTCATCCTGCAGACGACCCTGACGAAGCTAACAATTCCCAGGACACTTTCCCTCCTGCGTCGGAGCACTTCATGGCACACAAACAGGTGAGCAACTGTTGCCTTTGTTACTGCTACAGACATCATTATAGTACTGACATCATTATAGTATTGACATCATCATGCTGCTGATATCATTACAGTATTGGCATAATTATGGTGTTGACATTATTATATTATTGACATCATAATGGTTCTGACATCGTTATAATATTGACATCATTATGGTGCTGACATATATGGTACTGTATGTACAATGTGTGTGATTACAGTGTGTGTTTGAGTACAGAGTGTGTGTGATTACAGTGTGAGTAGAGTGTGGGTGTACAGTGTGTGTGTACAGTGTGTGAGTACAGTGTGTGTGAGTACAGTGTGTGTGAGTACAGTATGTGTCTACACTGTGCATACAGTGTGTGAGTACAGTGTGTGTGTGTACAGTGTGTGAGTTTAGTGTGTGTGTGTACAGTGTATAAGTTTAGTGTGTACGTTTTGTGTGTGTGTACAGATTGTGAGTTTAGTATATGTGTTCAGTGTGCGTACAGTGTGTACGCACACTGTACGCACAGTGTGAGTACAATGTCTCACCCCTCCCCCACAGGCGTGGTCGTTCCCACAGTCCCGAGAAGCCCCAGGGGAGGACCTAGCCTTCAGGAGGCCCCTGCAGGGCAGCTCTGGTCGCGTCTACTCCGCCTTCTACTCGCCTCGTGAGATCCCAGGCATCGACCCCGCCCTCTTCAGCTACAGGAAGGTCAGCACTTACCTCAGCCTCATCTTACCTCAGATAGAAACATTATCAGTCATTCATCGTTGTCTTGTATGCCTGAGTGCCTTGGAGCCGTGCAGCTGCTCTACCTAGAAATGATAACAAAAGCATTAATACGATAAGATAATTAACTGCCTCAAGGAATTGCTTACACAACTGTCATTTACAACTTCCCCAAACCATCCTCCTGCAGGTGCCACAGGCTCAACACGGCGATGGGGACTTCACCGTGTACGCCTACGACACTCCGGCGCGCCAGGAGGAGCCTGGAAGAGGAACCAGGAGGAACCAGGAGGAACCCCAGGAGGAGGAGGAGGAGGTACCGGGGCAGTCGTGGAGAGGAGGGGCCGCTGGAGGCGACGACGCACCTCAGCACGTCCTCGGGCCACAGTTTTTCCAGTGAGTGTCCACTATCCTGGGCGGCCCGGCCTCGGACCACCTGTGTGTACTTACCTAGCTCTGCTTGCGGCGCTGGAGGCTCGGCTCTTTGCTTTCGCCTCTCAAAAATTCAATTAATTGGTGTACAGCTTTTCAAGCCTATTGACCTTTATTTGCCTTTGAAACTGTGTGTGAAGTCTGGCTCTAACATATCGCTTCTTGGCCGTGTACCACATATTCCAAATAATCTTTGTCTATACTATCAATTCCCTGAAAATTTGGCACCTGGTAATCATGTCTCTGCTACCTTTCTGTCTTCCAGTGACGCAAGGCTTATTTCTATCAGGCATTCCTGGTAACTCGTACCCCTCAGTTCTGAAACTGATCTTGTGACATACATATAGACTTTATCCAATTTCGCTTTGTGTTGGACAAGGCAAGGATTCGACACTAGAATCGCACATTCTAGGGCTGGTCTGACATTTGTGATATACAAGGTCCTCATATCATCAGCGCATGCCGCTGATAATACCCAACTGATGTGGGATCCTGGCAGGTTTGGTGTGATATAAACTCCAGGGTCTTTCTCTCCTCATTCTTAAAAGATTTCATCTTCCATTTGGTACCGTGTGTTTAGCCTCCTCTTCCCAGCACCCAGATGATCTAGCTACTAGAGATCAACTCTAGTAGCTAGAGTTGAACTTTAGTAGCCAGAGTTAGACCATTCTTTCAGTTTATAGAGGTCATCTTGTAGTGTCTTGCTATCTTCCTCCGAATTAACCTCCTCTTAATTTTAGCATCAACAAACAATGAGAGAAATTATTATTATTAGTCTATCCTCCTCTGCGAAACCATTGACATATATGAGGAACAGAATATGTCAGAGTATAGATCCCTGTGGGACTCTTCTGGGATGATCTCTCCACCCTGACATTTCTCCTCTCACTGTGATTTATGTCGTGTAAGGTACCCGCTTACCCACTGGAGAACCCTCCCTCACACTTCTGCCTTACCCACTGGAGAACCCTCCCTCACACTTCTGCCTTACCCACTGGAGAACCCTCCCTCACACTTCTGCCTGAGTTCCAACTTGTGCACTAGTCCCTTGTGGGGCATTGTGTTGAAGGCTTTCCCTCAATTCGTTAATAGGAAACCTGCCAACCCATTTTTATTTTTGTCTGATTTTATCCGCCCGCTCATAAGAATTCCGTCAGGGTTTTGATGCAATATTTACTATACTTGAACCTATGTTTGTGGTGTGTTATAGAGTCCCGTCCTTAAGGTGTGCTGCTAGCCTCTTCCTCGCGACCTTCATAACCTTACAGCATCTGCAAGCTAGGGACACTGACCTGCAGTTTAGTGCCTCTATCTCTCTCCACTCATTGGCTGTCTTCCAACCTTCTGGCAGTTTTCCTGTTCCTTATGCATTATTATGTACTACAGAACGCTGCAAGCATAGAGCTTCAGCTCTTTCCTTCAGTAACAATAGCGATACTCTGTCTAGTTCATTTGGCTTAGTACCATCCAGTTCTTACTAGTGCCTCGTAACCTCAACTGTGTAATCTCAAAAATGTTGAATGTCGCTTGGTTTGACCCCCAAGAGTTTCACAGTGGATAGTGAGAATGTGAGAGAGAGCTTCACATGTAGGGTGCGCCTTCACATGTAGGGTGCGCCTTCACATGTAGGGTGCGCCTTCACATGTAGGGTGCGCCTTCACATGTAGGGTGCGCCTTCACATGTAGGGTGCGCCTTCACATGTAGGGTGCGTCTTCACATGTAGGGTGCGCCTTCACATGTAGGGTGCGCCTTCACATGTAGGGTGCGCCTTCACATGTAGGGTGCGCCTTCACATGTAGGGTGCGCCTTCACATGTAGGGTGCACCTTCACATGTAGGGGGCGCCTTCACATGTAGGGTACGCCTTCACATGTAGGGTGCGCCTTCACATGTAGGGTGCGCCTTCACATGTAGGGGGCGCCTTCACATGTAGGGGGCGCCTTCACATGTAGGGTGCGCCTTCACATGTAGGGTGCGCCTTCACATGTAGGGTACGCCTTCACATGTAGGGTGCGCCTTCACATGTAGGGGGCGCCTTCACATGTAGGGTACGCCTTCACATGTAGGGTGCGCCTTCACATGTAGGGTGCGCCTTCACATGTAGGGGGCGCCTTCACATGTAGGGGGCGCCTTCACATGTAGGGTGCGCCTTCACATGTAGGGTGCGCCTTCACATGTAGGGTACGCCTTCACATGTAGGGGGCGCCTTCACATGTAGGGGGCGCCTTCACATGTAGGGTGCGCCTTCACATGTAGGGTGCGCCTTCACATGTAAGGTGCGCCTTCACATGTAGGGTGCGCCTTCACATGTAGGGGGCGCCTTCACATGTAGGGTGCGCCTTCACATGTAGGGTGCGCCTTCACATGTAGGGTGCGCCTTCACATGTAGGGTGCGCCTTCACATGTATGGGGCGCCTTCACATGTAGGGGGCGCCTTCACATGTAGGGTGCGCCTTCACATGTAGGGTGCGCCTTCACATGTAGGGTACGCCTTCACATGTAGGGTGCGCCTTCACATGTAGGGGGCGCCTTCACATGTAGGGTACGGATTCCCATGTAGGGTGCACCTTCACATGTAGGGTGCGCCTTCACATGTAGGGGGCGCCTTCACATGTAGGGGGCGCCTTCACATGTAGGGTGCGCCTTCACATGTAGGGTGCGCCTTCACATGTAGGGTACGCCTTCACATGTAGGGGGCGCCTTCACATGTAGGGGGCGCCTTCACATGTAGGGTGCGCCTTCACATGTAGGGTGCGCCTTCACATGTAAGGTGCGCCTTCACATGTAGGGTGCGCCTTCACATGTAGGGGGCGCCTTCACATGTAGGGTGCGCCTTCACATGTAGGGTGCGCCTTCACATGTAGGGTGCGTCTTCACATGTAGGGTGCACCTTCACATGTAGGGTACGCCTTCACATGTAGGGTGCGCCTTCACATGTAGGGGGCGCCTTCACATGTAGGGGGCGCCTTCACATGTAGGGTGCGCCTTCACATGTAGGGGGCGCCTGTGTGGCGCACCCTACATGTTCACCATATGTGGCGCCTCCAACACTAACCAACACAATCCGGCAATACACCCCGCCATCACACTCCAACAACCCTCCACCAACATACCCCGCCACCGTACCCCACCAACATATCCCGCCAACACACCCCACCAACATACCCCGCCACCGTACCCCACCAACATACCCCACCAACATATCCCGCCAACATACCCCACCAACATACCCCGCCACCGTACCCCACCAACATACCCCACCAACATATCCCGCCAACATACCCCACCAACATACCCCACGAACATACCCCACCAACATACCCCACCAACATACGCCACCAACATACCACCTACAACATACCCCACCAACATACCCCACCAACATACACCACCAACATACCACCTCCAACATACCCCACCAACATACCCCCACCAACATACCCCACCAACATACGCCACCAACATACGCCACCAACATACCCCACCAACATACCCCACCAACATACACCACCAACATACCACCTCCAACATACCCCACCAACATACCCCATCAACATACCCCCACCAACATACCCCACCAACATACGCCACCAACATACCCACCAACATACCCCACCAACATACCCCCACCAACATACCCCACCAACATACGCCACCAACATACCCCACCAACATACCCCATCAACATACACCACCAACATACACCACCAACATACCCCCACCAACATATCCTCACCAACACACCCCACCAACACACCCCACCAACACACCCCACCAACACACCCCACCAACACACCCCACCAACATACACCACCAACACACCCCACCAACATACACCACCAACACACCCCACCAACACACCCCACCAACATACACCACCAACACACCCCACCAACATACACCACCAACACACCCCACCAACACACCCCACCAACACACCCCACCAACATACACCACCAACACACCCCACCAACACACCCCACCAACACACCCTCACCAACACACCCCACCAACACACCCCACCAACACACCCCACCAACACACCCCACCAACACACCCCACCAACACACCCCACCAACACACCCCACCAACACACCCCACCAACACACCCCACCAACACACCCCACCAACACACCCCACCAACACACCCCACCAACACACCCCACCAACATACACCACCAACACACCCCACCAACACACCCCACCAACACACCCCACCAACACACCCCACCAACATACACCACCAACACACCCCACCAACACACCCCACCAACACACCCCACCAACATACACCACCAACACACCCCACCAACACACCCCACCAACACACCCCACCAACACACCCCACCAACACACCCCACCAACATACACCACCAACACACTCCACCAACACACCCCACCAACACACCCCACCAACATACACCACCAACACACCCCACCAACACACCCCACCAACACACCCCACCAACACACCCCACCAACATACACCACCAACACACCCCACCAACACACCCCACCAACAAACCCCACCAACACACCCCACCAACACACCCCACCAACACACCCCACCAACATACCCCACCAACATACCCCACCAACACACTGGTACACAACCAGTAGGGACAGACGGCAGACTCCAGGGTAGTGAGGAGTGACTGGACGGGCACCTGACGCCCCCTCCAGGTTGTTGACCCTCCCACCTGTCCTTCTTGATGCCCCTCCCACCCCCACCCGCACCCCTCCCACCACCATCACCACCCACACCCCCTCCCACCCCCACCACCACCACCCACACCCCTCCCACCCCCACCACCACCACCCCTCCCACCCCCACCACCACCACCCACACCCCTCCCACCCCCACCACCACCACCCACACCCCCTCCCACCACCACCTACACCTACACCCAACAGGAGTAAGGTAAAGAAGACAGGTTCACCACCAGGGTGAGGCACCTACAGGCATGAGAGTGCCGGCAACATTCACGAAGCAGTTACACAAATATTTACGAACGTGTACATCTTTCCTCAATCTTTGACGGCTTTGATTTCATTTATTAATCAGTTTACATGAATGAAAACTTGCCAATCAACTGTTGTTATTGTTATGAACAGCCTCCTGGTGCTTCGGAGCTTATTAACTGTATAATAATTGTAAACACAGCCGCCAAAGATTGAGAAAACATGTACAGGTTCGTAAGAGCTTGCGTAACTGCTTGGTGAATCTGGCGGGTGATAGTGTAGCGAGGTCCTACACACGTCATCATGGTAACTTGGGCAGGTGGTATCCACTACCACATTTAAAATCTTACTATAAGGACTCCTTCACAGTAATCTTCACCACCCTGGAATATGTAGTCCCGGCTTGCCCCCCCCCCCATCCTCTGATGAATGAAGCAGTGTTTTAAAAGACACGAATGACAGAGGCAAGATTATTGACACACTTGTGGAAACGCCTCCAGGGGAGCTAGGCCAGTAGGCTGAGAACGTGTCTCCTCCTACCAGATGCCGCTCGTGCTGAGCAACAGTGCACCTAGAACGCTATTGAGTCCTAGCAGTCATCAGTCCCAACAGTCAACAGTCCCAGCAGTCAACAGTCCCAGCAGTCAACAGTCCCAGCAGTCAACAGTCCCAGCAGTCAACAGTCCCAGCTAATGACACCCGCAACGGAGTGACACAACACGAATCTTGGAAGCGGCGACGTCACTCTTATTTGAAAGAATATTTTGTGGATTGTTTATTGTATTGTATGAGGATACTATACTGTATTCTCGTGTGTAAGATGAATGGCTGTATAAATCACAGCCACACCTGACACCCCCCCCCTCATCAGAGCCACACCTGACCCCAGCACCTCCCCCCTCATCAGAGCCACACCTGACCCCAGCACCTCCCCCCACAGGTACCTCAACACACTACCCCACGCTCTGCTCCGTAAGTTCTTGGACCCCAGGAGCCCGCCGGTGCTGCCAGAGAGGCGCAGGCGGGAGGCTGCTGACACGGGAGAAGAGGTCTTCTGTGAGTGGAACATACAGGTCAGTTTGCCCTTATTTATTCACCTCCATTATTATTTTACTGGATTTCACTAAATACCTGTTGCCAAGTCATATATATATATATATATATATATATATATATATATATATATATATATATATATATATATATATATATATATATATATATATATATATATATATATATATGTCGTACCTAATAGCCAGAACGCACTTCTCATCCTACTATGCAAGGCCTGATTTGCCTAATAAGCCAAGTTTTCATGAATTAATTGTTTTTCGTCTACCTAACCTACCTAACCTACCTAACCTAACCTAACCTAACGTTTTCGGCTACCTAACCTAACCTAACCTATAAAGATAGGTTAGGTTAGGTTAGGTAGGGTTGGTTAGGTTAGGTAGGGTTGGTTAGGTTCGGTCATATATCTACGTTAATTTTACCTCCAATAAAAAAAAATTGACCTCATACTTAATGAAATGGGTAGCTTTATCATTTCATAAGAAAAAAAATAGAGAAAATATATTAATTCAGTAAAACTTGGCTTATTAGGCAAATCGGGCCCTGCATAGTAGGCTGAGAAGTGCGTTCTGGCTACTAGGTACGACATATATATATATATATATTGTGACGGTAACGCGTTGGTGTTCGGCTGTTTAAGGCTAGGGGTATGGCCTCGTCACATAGTTATAAAAAAAATAGAAAAACTGGAACTTCGTCTGTGGTAAGGTAAGGAGAAGACACACAAAACACAAGTAAATTTTAACAATGAAATTTTAATTACGTTAAATAAATCAAAACATGAAAAAATGGACAAACAAATTTGTATAATAAAATCAATCAATCAAAATAATAAGAATAATTAAATGACACAATGAAAAGTTACGTTAAGATAAAATAACAAGACGTGCAACACAAAATAAAGGGAAGGTGCTGGAATATTGGCTTAAAGCTACCACCTCTCTCAGTACACGCTAACGTCTAGCCGGGAGGAGTGGTAACCACGAAAGCACAGAACATTCTGAGGTCTGAGGTCGTGGCGACCCCAGACATCAAGTAGTACGGGGGGGCGAGTGCAGGTGCAGCCAGACCGGCGACCAATCAGCGGAGCCGGTAGCGATCAACAGGTAGTTTGGCGGTTTGAGTCTGAACAGGTGTCTCTGGCTGCAACGTTTTGCGCTCTGGCAAACCTTGCTGGTGTTGTTGTCGTTGTTGGACATTTCTTCCATAGTAGTATTATATAATTTCAACGACGTAATTATGGAGGGAAGAGCAGGCTCAATCTCTTGAAGGAGATTATCGTCACAATATATATATATATATATATATATATATATATATATATATATATATATATATATATATATATATATATATATATATATATATATATATATATATATATATATATATATATATATATATATATATATATATATATATATATATATATATATATATATATATATATATATATATATATATATATATATATACATATCGTGGTATGTGAACACACGCGATATATGGTCATACCGAGCTACTTGTCCCTATATCCTAGCTCCTTGTCCTCATATCCCATCTCCTTGTCCCTATATCCCAGCTCCTTGTCCCCATATCCCATCTCCTTGTCCCCCCATATCCCATCTCCTTGTCCCCACATCCCATCTCCTTGTCCCCATATCCCAGCTCCTTGTCCCCATATTCCATCTCCTTGTCCCCATATTCCATCTCCTTGTCCCCATATTCCATCTCCTTGTCCCCATATCCCATCTCCTTGTATCCCATCCCAGTGTATGATAGCCCTGGTGGCTGAGCCCTCCTCTCCCCATTAACTCCCTCACTGGGTGTATGACACCTGCCGTCATACACCCTCCACACATACACATACATGATACTTGTATCACGCCAAGTGTATGAAACCCTCAGCAAGTATTAACTGCTGGCAATTGTTGTGAATTAATCAAATATCTGCCTGACCTGAGACTCGTCCCCTGGAGATATTTTATCATATATTTATCCTCCCTCATGACTGTGATTTCCTCATTGTCTCGGCCTCACTGTCTCAATATAACGCATTATATATATCACGTGTTTATGGTGTAGCCAAGTAGAGGGTAATGTATGGGCGAGTAATAATGTGTGATGGTGGCCCGCAGACGGAGCCGGGCCTCTACCTCCTGCTTACCTTCCATAACCTCACCGCCGCCTTCAGCGTCGACTGTCATGGCGCCTACATCGAGGTCGAGCGGGGCAACAACGGCTTTGACGCCCGGTGGTGTGGCAACCGTGTGGCCCAGGTGAGTCAGCGGTAGTGTGGCCCAGGTGGTGTGGCCCAGGTGAGTCAGCGGTAATGTGGCCCAGGTGAGTCAGCGGTAGTGTGGCCCAGGTGAGTCAGCGGTAGTGTGGCCCAGGTGAGTCAGCGGTAGTGTGGCCCAGGTGAGTCAGCGGTAGTGTGGCCAGGTGGTGTGGCCCAGGTGAGTCAGCGGTAGTGTGGCCAGGTGGTGTGGCCCAGGTGAGTCAGCGGTAGTGTGGCCAGGTGGTGTGGCCCAGGTGAGTCAGCGGTAGTGTGGCCAGGTGGTGTGGCAACCGTGTGGCCCTTATGTTTCCTTGTAATAATGTCGAGTCACTATGTTTTGTTATTAAACTAGCTAGCTGTACTACATTAAGTTAGACTAGGCTAGACTGGGTTTATGCTAGGTTAAGTTATGTTAAGGTAGTCAAGGTTAGGCCACTATGGAGTACAGATTTACTGCAGGCGATGAGTCACAATAACGTGGCTGAAGTATATTGACCAGACCACACACTAGAAGTTGAAGGGACGACGACGTTTCGGTCCGTCCTGGACCATTCTCAAGTCGACTTGAGAATGGTCCAGGACGGACCGAAACGTCGTCGTTCCTTCAACTTCTAGTGTGTGGTCTGGTCTACAGATTTACTCTTGGTACTCCACAATCCGGTTCAAAAAGGATCAATGTGGGATTTATTCAGACTCCCTCAAGGAAACACAAAGGATTGTAGAAGTAAAATAAATTCAGATCAGATTCAGATTCAGATGTTTATTCAGGTAAGGTATATACATACAAGTGATGTTACATTAATGGATTGATATATAGATAGAGCTAGTACATACAATGCCTAAAGCCACTATTACGCAATGCGTTTCGGGCAAGAAAAACATTAATATCTAGAACTTAATACTAATTGAGCATAAAGAATAAAAGATGTTGAGAACAAATAACAAATAAAGATAAAAAAAAGGGGGAACATGACTGAAAAAGCAGCACAAATACAATAGGTTGACAAACAGTGTTGATTAAAAAAAAAGAAAAAAAAAACAAAATAACAGACATGGGTTGACAATAGAGGAGTGAGGTAGATTACAGGGAATTTATTAGGTAGTGTTTAGTTTTTATCTTAAACTGGTTGAGAGAGGTACAGTCTTTAACATGGTTGGGAAGGTCATTCCACATTCTGGGCCCCTTGATTTGCAGAGCATTTCTAGTTTGATTAAGACGTACTCTAGGAATATCAAAACTGTATTTATTTCTGGTGTGGTGCTCATGGGTTCTGTTACAACCTTCTATGAAGCTTTTAAGATCAGGATTGGCATTATAGTTTAGCGTTTTATATATGTATAATACACATGAGAGAATGTGCAGTGACTTAATATCTAACATATTAAGAGATTTGAGTAGGGGTACCGAGTGATGTCTGGGGCCAGAGTTGGATATTGTTCTAATAGCGGCTTTGTGTTGGGTAATTAGAGGACGTAAGTGATTTTGGGTAGTAGAACCCCAAGCACAAATACCATAGTTGAGATAAGGATAGATAAGGGAGTAATAGAGAGTCACCAGAGCAGGGCGTGGTACATAATATCTGATCTTAGAAAGAATGCCCACAGTTTTTGAAACTTTTTTTGATATATTTAGAATGTGTCCCTGGAAATTCAGCTTGTGGTCAATGAGAATGCCAAGGAATTTGCCATCTAATTTGTTACAAATTTGGGTATTGTTTATTTTGAGATTTATAAGACTAGAGGATTTATTGCCAAACAGAATATAGAAGGTTTTGTCAATGTTAAGGGTGAGTTTGTTGGCAGTTAGCCAAAGATGGACTTTATTTAGCTCAGTATTTACTGTGGCATTTAGAGCAAGAGGGTCAGGACTGGAGTAAATGAAGGTTGTGTCGTCAGCAAATAGAATTGGTTTGAGGTGTTGGGAGGCATTTGGAAGGTCATTAATGTAGATGAGAAAGAGGAGAGGGCCAAGTATGCTGCCCTGAGGAACACCAATGTTGATGGGTAGGGTGGGAGAAATTGTATTATTCACAGAAACATATTGGAGCCTGTCAGTAAGGTAGGACTCGAGGTATTGTAGGGAGTGTCCTCTGACTCCATAATGATGTAATTTAAGAAGAAGGTTTTGGTGGTTGACAGTATCAAAAGCTTTACGCAGGTCCACAAATAACCCAACAGGGAGCTCCTTTTTATCAAGAGCTGTATGAATCGAGTTAAGCATACTAATAAGTGCATCGTTAGTGCTTTTTTTGGGTCTGAAGCCATATTGGCAAGGGCTAAGTATATTGAGTTTGGCTAGATATGAGTAAAGCTGCTTGTATATAAGTTTTTCAAAAATTTTTGACAAGTTTGGCAGGATTGATATAGGTCTGTAGTTGTTAACATCTGTGGGGTCACCACATTTGTGGACAGGCGTTACTCTCGCTTTTTTTAGAATATCTGGAAAGGTTTGGAGTTCAAGTGACTTGTTGAAGAGCAAAGCAATAGCAGGGGCTAAAGATCTGGAGGCTTTTTTGTAAATTAAAGTTGGTATCTCCTCAAGGGCACCAGACTTGGTTTTAAGGGAAAGGATTATCTCATTGACGTCAGTGGAGTTAATAGGCTTTAGGTACAGAGACTGTGGATAGTTACCTGTAAGATAGTCCTTAATGTCAGTACTGGAAGATGGAATATCATTTGCAAGGGATGAACCAATGGAAGAGAAGAACCTATTGAACTCAATAGCAGAATCAGAGGCAGAAAGCTGACCATCGTTATTAGACAGGAGAGTCGGTTTGTTATTTAAAGATTTCTTTGATCCCAATATTTGTGAAATTGTGCTCCAAGTTTGTTTAATGTTGCTCTTTATTTGAGTAAATTTATCTTCGTAGTAATTAGTTTTGGCTCGTCTAATTATCTTAGTTAGCAATAATGAGTAATTCTTTGAGAATTCTTTGGAGACAATTCCTAACCTATACTTCTTCTCAAGGTCGTGTTTTTTGTTAATGGATTTCAGTATTCCCTTTGTAAGCCAAGGATTGTTAAGCCTTTTGCTTGTGACTTGTTTTGTAAGCCTAGGACAGTGGATGTTATAAAGGCTAAGAGTTGTTTGTAGAAAAGATTGCACTGCTAGGTTGATGTCCCCTATGTTACCTAATTCGGACTCCCAGTTGACATTATCAGCAGCAGTTATAAAATTGTTTATAGCAGTTTCATTGTGCAGCCTAAAGCTTAACTCCCTTGTTTCTAGAGGTGGTTTGCTAATGTTAGTTAAGAGAAATGTGGGGTAGTGGTCTGTAGTGCTATCGGTGATTATACCTGAAGTAAGCGGAGAGGTTATGTTGGTCCAGATGTGATCTAGAGTCGTGGCAGTGCTATCAGTGATTCTAGTAGGTCTAGTGATTAAGGGTATGAGGAGGCAGGAATTCATACAGTTGAGGAAGCTAACAGCAGTAGGGTGTTCTGGCTCGCAGAGGTCAATATTAAAGTCCCCTGCGATAATTAGGTGGTTTTTGTTCAGTCTGTTATCAAGTATTAGATTTCTAAGGTTTGAGTTGAATACAGACACATCAGTGTTGGGAATTCTATAGACTGCACCCACAGACAGGACAGACTCGGCACCCTTGACTCTGAAGCTGGCGAAGATATACTCCCCATAGCAGTCTCTAGTTCTAATTTCTTTTAAGCATGTTAGTTCTTGGTGGTAGTAAAGAGCAGTGCCACCACCTCTCTGAAGTTGACGACAGTTGTGAATTGCTGAGTAGTTAGGCATGTTAAAGAGTTGAGTAGTATCCTCTTTCAACCATGTTTCAGTAAGTATAATAAAAGAGAATTTGTTGCCAATAGTTTCAATCAAGGCACTAACATCATCGAAGTGTTTACCTAGGGATCTAACGTTCAAATTGATTACAGAGATATTGTGATTATGAGTTAATACATTGTTTACATCATGTGCTGCAAAATATCTGCAATTTAGATCATTAAAGTGATTATTGTCATAGATAGTGGATAAGAGGTTAAGTTCTGGGTCTATACTTGACTGCATAAAAGAAGCTGATTGTAGAATCAGAAATAAGTAGAAGAAAGCTATAAAATAGGGAAAAATATATACACAATACTGTACAAAACAAACACAAAAGGGGCTTACAGGGGTACAATGGAGTAAGGGAGTATGGCTAGGCTAGGCAACCTAGGCAATTAATGAGATTAAGGAAAAAACATGTAAACATGGACTATACAAAACACAAGATATGGAAATACAAAACAAAAAATATAAGCAAGACTAAGCAATACAAAAAAAAACAAATTGAGCAAAAATGAGGTAGATTGCTTACGAGTACTCACAGGTACACTGTAAGTAACAATTTGCAATTTGAGATGCAGGCAAAGCCAGGGGTACAATGGAGTAAGGGAGCATGGCAAGGCTAGGCAACCTAGGTAATAAATGAAATCAAAGAAAAGTTGAATAATAAACATAGGCAAATTTATGCTAATGATTAATAACTATAGATAGTTCAGTAATGACTGTATAATTAAAAAGACCTGCAGAACTACTTAATAACTCAATTAAATAATTTCGGTAAATGACTAGGTAAGAGTAAGTTAAAAATTAAGTCAGAAAATGAACCAAGGAGACTTAGGATACCTAGCCCCACTAGTTGACAGGGGGTTAATTAAGTTAATTCATTGGGAGTGATAAGGTGAGACAAACCACATTGGGAGAGGAAAGTGTTGAGGTTTTCTTCTCTAGTAATAGTAAACATTTTGCCCTCTGCGGTTTTTCTCACCTTTATCAGACCATCTCTAACGAAGCACTGATGAATAGCATCTGGGTTTTGTTGCCGGATTTGACGCAGGCGGTAGAGGATTTGCTGTCTGTTCCTGGTCAAGCACTCGTTGATGTATAATCCCTTCCGTAGGGATGCAGCTGTCCGGACTAGATTGGATTTCGTGAACTGGGAAGACAGCTTCAGGCGAATTTTCCGTTGATTTAGACCTGATGGATTCTTTTTGCCTACTCTGTAGGCAGCAATAACGTCAGTTTTGTTTAGATTGAGCTGCAATTTGTTTTTTAAGAGATCCTGAGCTATTTCGAAACAATTTTCACCATCATGTTCCACAGGTATATCTTGGGACGACACGATAACAGAGTCTAGCAGCTTTTGCTGGTCTTGTTCCTCCTGGGAGACGGAACGTTGAGCTGAAAATGTACTGATACATGCAGTCATTTTGCTGAGAGCTTCCTCCTGCTTTTTTAAGGCTTCATCAGTTTTCCGAAGGTTGTTTACCTCATGGAGATCATTCAAATCATGCTGTAGTTGGTCTTGGCTAGCCTTGTAGTTTCTAATATCCTCGCGGAGGAGGGTTATTTCTTGTTGTTGTTGATGGAGATTAGCGCGGTTCGCTAGATTCTCGTTGAGAAGACTCAAGATGATAGAATTTTGTGACTCGAGGACTAGGCACAACTTTTTGAATTAGGCTTAGGCTACTATAACTAAAAAAAAGAAGTTATATGGCTTCTAGTTGCTTGGAGTCTTGTGTAGTGGTTAGTGTTCCTGGACTCCATGGTGGAAACTACTCCCATGGTGGAAACTACTCCCTAGTTAACCTTAATTCCTTTGAGGAAGCCCCCAACAAGTAATGATGGTGCCTATATTTACCTCCCAGATGGATAATTCATCAAATATCAAATTGTAAGATTAAATCTTAATTATAATGGAGCCTACATTGATATCGGTAGTGTTTACATTTTGGCCCTTGTCTTTTAGATCTGGTGTCTTGTCACATATTAATATTCTGTAATTAAACAATGACAAGAATAGTTACTTTATTCTTTATTGATGTGAATTTATTTATTTATTGCAAATAAATTGCAATATATAAGCTATATTTTTAAACAATTGCAGAGATCACTTTTAAATGTTAGTTAACCTAGCTAGTTATGTTTAATAACTTAGTGAGTAACTTACTGGTTTGAGCCCATGTTATAACCGCTCCAACAATATAATGGTGTCAGTGGCACTAAGATATTGGATCTAAATCTTAATTAATACCACAAACCTCCATTTTCTATTGGTGTCATTCGCGGGTACAGAGCTCTCAGTCTATTGTATCTTGTTAAAACTTAGCCGCAGTTCTTGGGCAACGTTGTGTATTAATGGCCAAGAGGTGTGGTGAGCCCTGTGGGCGGGTGTGGCGCCTGGTGTGGCCCTCACTACCTGGGGCCACACCATTCACGAAGCAGTTACGCAAGTACTTACGAACGTGTACATCTTTCTTCAAACTTTGACGGCTTTGGTTACATTTATTAAACAGTTTACAAGCATGAAAACTTTCCAAACAACTGTTGTTATTGTTATAAACAGCCTCCTGGTGCTTCGGAGCTCATTAACTGTTTAATAATTGTAAACTAAGCCGACAGATTCAGAAAAGATGGACAGGTTCGTAAGTGTTTGCGTAACTGCTTCCAGAATCTGGCCCCTGGTCCTCTTGACTGCTGTTTATATAACTTGACACACACACACACTTAGTTCAATATAAACGGTGTAAAGGTATATTATTCACTTTACACTGTAGTTGTTACACCACTTTAAACAGCCACATGGTAGCCAAACCCTTTTTTGTAGCATGCATCCATGACCTTCTTGACGATTATTTTATTTATTTTTGAGTAATACCATAATGTGTTGATGACGATTTAGATTTAAATAAGTATTGTGGTAAGAACCATTACAGACGCACCTTTGGTGGCGTTATATAATGGGGTGTTCCTGCTGATCCAGTGAACTCTCTATTCTGTCGGCTCTGAAAATAGGCGGGCATATCCCCTGTGTTTTTCGTTCTATAATACCCATTGACCAAGACTAGCTAATATATGCTAGACTATTAGTTTAAGTGGATATTTCCCACACCCCGGGCTGTAGCAAGTTAGGGTACACATGCCCTGGGCTGTAGCAAGTTAGGGTACACATGCCCTGGGCTGTAGCAAGTTAGGGTACACATGCCCCGGGCTGTAGCAAGTTAAGGTACACATGCCCCGGGCTGTAGCAAGTTAGGGTACACATGCCCCGGGCTGTAGCAAGTTAGGGTACACATGCCCCGGGCTGTAGCAAGTTAGGGTACACATGCCCCGGGCTGTAGCAAGTTAGGGTACACATGCCCCGGGCTGTAGCAAGTTAGGGTACACATGCCCCGGGCTGTAGCAAGTTAGGGTACACATGCCCCGGGCTGTAGCAAGTTAGGGTACACATGCCCCGGACTGTAGCAAGTTAGGGTACACATGCCTCTGACTGTAGCACTAACCACCATGCATGACCGGGGTTGCAGGCCGAGCGGCGTCCTCACGTCATCTTCGCCAAGACTGCGGTCCGCATCACCGTATACGACGACGGAGACGCCTCCAGAAGACAACCCACGGGCTTCGAGGCGAAGATTGAAGGTCAGTCACACTATCTTCTCCCTCTGTGTTCCTCCCTCACGTCGTCGTCGTCTCTGTCCGCCATGAACTGGGAACCCACGAAGATGACAGAGTGCAGCAACTCCACTTTCATTAAATATATACCGTTATTAGGCTATGAAATGAATTTGCACGATGGAAAATATTTGTAGCACAAGATACATTATTTGTTGCTCTCTTGTATTATTTCCATTCTCGTTGAAATTTCCTGTTGGAGCCCTAAATGTGAAGCGTTCTGTAGACACCTTGTGCTGCTTCGGCCCCGGTCTCTGACCAGGCCTCAAGGTTGGTGGGCTGGTCAACCAGACTGTTGCACGCGGCTGCTCGCAGTCTGACGAAAGAATCAGAGCCTGGTGAAGGGGTGGGAGTGATAGGCTCCAGACCTTTCCCCGGAGCACACATTCCTGCTCCTCCTCAAGTATACATATGTCTGAGGATGAACTTAAAGTGTTCGTTAACTTCTTAATTATATTGTACTAATTTTAAATTAAAATTGATCTTTATACAAAGTTACCCTTAGCACAAGTGTTTGCTCATGAGCACCCCAGCACGTGGCTTTATCCATGACCACCCCAGCACGTAGACCACATGGGTTCGAATCCTGGCCGGGTCAATTAGAGTTCTTAGTAATATAATATATATATGTGTGTTTATTGAACACACAATATGCCTTTGTGTGTATTTATACCTCAATAAAATTATTTCAATTCAATTTCAACTACTCAAGCACGTGGTTAGATTGGGTTATGTATAATTAGGTAAATTTAGGTTAGGTTAGGTCCGGTCTGATTGAGCTAGGTTAAATTTAATTAGGTTAAATTTAGTTAAGATTGGTTAAGTTTAGTTCAGTTAAGCTTGCTTAAATTACGTTTGGTTTAGTTTGGGTAGGTTAGATTAAGTTTGGTTACGTTAGAGTAGGATAGTTTAGCTTGGCTTAGCTTGGCTTAGGTTAGGCTACGTGGTTTGGTTAAGTTAGGCTAAGTTTCATTAGGTGTAGCAAGGTTTTGTTTCGTTTGCTTAGATCAGCTTAGGTTATATATGGTAAAGTTTGGTTAAGTTTGACCTGAGGTGGGTTAGATTTTTGTAGGTTAAATGTTATTAGGTTAGGTTCGTTTAGGATGAACTGGATTAGTTTAGGATGGGTTATGTTAATTTTGGTTATGCAGAGTTACGTTAGTTTACGTTAGGTTGGACTAAGTTACGTTGGTTTATGTTGGTTAAGTTACGATGGGTTAGGTTAAGTTGGATTAGGTCAGGTTGGATTAGCTTGTGTTAGATTGTGTTAAGTTAGGTTAGGATAGGTTACTATTGGCTAGATTAGGTTAGATTTAATTATTTAAGTGACAACAACAATGCTTTATTTCACCTTTGAGCTGGAGAGGCCAGAGGTACCAGCCAGTTATTGTGTCATACAGTGTGTGTTAGTATGTGTATGTATGCCCCCCTACCACTTATTGTGTCATAGTGTGTGTTAGTATGTGTATGTATGCCCCCCTACCACTTATTGTGTCATACAGTGTGTGTTAGTATGTGTGTGTATGCCCCCTACCACTTATTGTGTCATACAGTGTGTGTTAGTATGTGTATGTATACCCTCTACCACTTATTGTGTCATACAGTGTGTGTTAGTATGTGTATGTATGCTTCTTGCCCCCCATATTGTGTTACCGTTTTTCTTACATTCAGTTCATGTTTCAGTGCTGGACCTGTTCAACAGTGAGGATTACAACGAGTTCATGACGTCCAACGCCTATCCTCACATCCGCCGCCTCCTGCTGGGCTAGACGAGCCCCGCCCACCTACGCCCACTTCGGTAAGCGGCAACCGTGTGTTGGTAGGAAACGGATTAGTAACGCATTCGTGAATAAGGAGGTGTATATGGCAGTGTGGTGCCCCTGGTTGACGGCGTGGGCGTGCACTCTATACGGGGCGTGCACTCTACACAGGGCGTGCACTCTACGCAGGGCGTGCACTCTACGCAGGGCGTGCACCCTACACAGGAATACTCCCGCTCCTCACCAAACGCTTCCGTATAAAAAATACAAATACACTTTCCGTACAAATAAAAATAGGCTTCTGAAAATTTAAAACTTAAAATGAGGTGTTGGGAACTTAAATTTTAACTCAGTCTAACCTCAGCTAAGCCTAAGCAACATAACTTAGGCTCAACACTCCACTTTGGGCCTAATCTATTCCTATGGTGGGTAGTTAGGCCTAGGTAAGGCTGGAGATATATTCCCCCTCTCAACCTTAAAAATGTGTGTGTTCAGTTTCATTTTTATTTTTGTAAATTTGTTGAATTTAAATACTGAATTGTTGAATTACAAAATACAGCTTCTCAGTGTGTGTGATATAGGCATATGACAAGCGTGAGGACAGGCTGGTGGTGTTATCACACACACACACACAAACAGCCTCAATCATAACAAATAGAAAAATTATGATGATGATAATGATAATAAAAATACCAGTAATGATGATAATAATAATAATGAGAAAATCCGTAGGAGCTGTGTAGAGGGTTCGAACCTATGTGGAGGGTGTTCCCACACATACCTGGTGGGTTCCTAGTTAGGCTTCAGTAGAAGCCTCTGGACACCCTTGTGTGTTCAGTAGAACTCCAAGTTGCAATCCTTATTACCATGTCGTGGTCTAGTGGCTAGAGCGTGTGGCTGGGAACACCCACCGCATAGGTTCGAACCCTCATCACGGCTACCTGGTTGATGCAGTCACGTTAGTGTGATTACTCTCCGTGTAATAATAATAATAATAATATTTGATGTAGAGAAGAGAGAGTGGAGGTGTAGAGAGAGAGCACGGCAGCAGCCAGTGTAAATGTGTTATATACACCACCAGGAGTTAAGACCAGTGCTCCGGGTGTAGTCCTTAATACTAATACTGCTCCTCGCAGGTGCTGCCTGGACCACGGAACGTCACTGCTGCTCCTCGCAGGTGCTGCCTGGACCACGGAGCGTCACTGCTGCTGCTCCAGGTGTGCCGTGATCAACGTTACGTGACCACATCAACGCCTCATCAACTCCCCCTCAACTGTGATGGATGTTACAGAACTCGTGTTTACAGGAGAAGGTGATGTTGACCATCTCGCTCCCGGAGCCCCGGTGCCGCCCCCGCCCGCCACCACCACACCGACACTCCTTACCTCAAGTTACCCACCACACCCCTCTCACTGTGTGACTGACAGACTCACCGTGTGACTGACACACTCACCGTATGACTGACCCTCTCACCGTGTGACTGACACACTCACCGTGTGACTGACACACTCACATCCCCTCCAACAACGACACTGGCTATAGCAGCGGCGACGGACTCGACGGAATGCGGACTTTCACACACAAAATGTCAACGTTGCCTCCTGTTAGTTTGGAAGACGGCCCGTAAGAGATGGCCGTAAGCTGACCTAACTTTTTCTAGGCCTACGATAGTCTATATATGTACTTAATTATGCCTAAGATTGTGTATGTTAGACCTAGGATTATATATAAGCCTTTGGCAGATAAAGTTAGGCGTATGGTTACTCTGTTTCTGTCTTTTAGAGTTCCAATATTATTACTTGTGGACCTTCTTGACGCAACGCTGCGCATTGTGCTCACAGTAGCTGCAGGTACTGTGAGGCGAGGAGCTCACAGTAGCTGCAGATACTGTGAGGTGAGGAGGCCTGCTTGCTACAGTGTTGTGAGCATACACACACACTTCTCCGTCCAGCGAGCCTGCTCGCGTCCCAGCCGCACGCTCCACCGAGCAGCAGCCAGTATAGTGCACTCATTACTGTATATGACAGGTGCACCGCCTTGTATATGACCCTACCACTGACGTAAACATTAGGGGAGGGTACACTGTGCCCTCCCCTAGTGTTTATGTCAGTGGTAGTGTGTGATGCACGTCCTGCACTGTGTACTGTTCACTATTATATCTGGGGTTATCTCCAGGGGTATCTCCATGGCGGTATCTCCAGGGGTATCTCCATGGCGGTATCTCCAGGGGTTTTCTTCAGGGGTTATCTATAGGGAATATATCTCCAGGGATATATCCAGGGAATATTTCCAGGGGAATATCTCCAAAGGTATTTCCAGGGGTTATACGCAGGGGTGTCCCCAGAGAGTATCTCCAGGGGGGGGGGGTTATCTGCAGGGGGGCTATCTGCAGGGGGTGGTGTGGGAGGCAGGCGAGGGGCGAGGAGGGCCGGCGTGGCGAGGCACCGTCCTGCTTACCATCACTTATTCACTCAACTTTATCAACCATTTGTACTCATCCGTCTTAGTAACGCTATTCTGGGCATTTGGGCTCCTCGTCCTTGTCTCCTTGGGCATTATTGCCCCCCCCCTCCCCCGCTGGGGCACCAAGGCACCCCGACACTCGCCTCTGATGGAAAAAAACAGTTCTGGAATATTGAACCTGTTGTAGCTGCTCTTATGCAAGTTAGAGGAGGTTTTATCCTAGAGAAATTCCTGTAGGTTTTAGAACTGGTGTTGACAATGACTGCGCTCCGTACTTTAGCAACTAGCAGGGCGAAGGCGCTGAGCACTAGCTCTGGCCCTATAGCGTGTTGAGGACGCTGCGCACTCTGGCCCTAGCGTGTTGAGGGCACTGCGCACTCTGCCAACTAATATCCACTCACACCCCAGCTGCCTGAAGGTGTTATGTGTGCATTATGTGTACATTTAGAGGTGCGAGGGTGCGAGCAGGTGTGTGAGCTCCTCTGGTGCACCGTGTAAGATGGCAGGTGTTGTAGACAGGTCTTGATACTGGACCTTGGAAAGTATTTTGAAATCATTCAAAATCCCTTCCAGGGGGAATTTAAATAAATCACTGTTTATAACTGATATGTTTCCTGTAGCAGCCTATAGCGTCTCGGAGGAGGTCCCGAGTGAGATGAGTGTGTTGTATTACTTTCCAATAACTCCTCTAATGTTACCAGATCACACGAACACTTTGCCAGTAATTAACATATTTGTAATGTTTGGGAGTCTTTCTATCCTGTAAAAGGGCATTATGTAAATAGTTTGTAAATTTAAACAACCCTTTGTTAACACGGACACACTAAAGGAATGTACCCGCGTCTTAATGTGGCTTTATGTGTTGAGAGTTACCCATTGTTGTAGTTTGTTAAATTAATGTATCGCGAGTTATTGATTGTTGTCCTACTGATGTGTATATTGTCTTATGATGCACATATATCATTTTCATTTAAATTAATATTTTAATTAAATTTTAGTTGGAAACACTGTATTTTTTTATGTATTTTGTACTGATTCATTAAAGGTGAAGGACAGACCTAAGATATATATAAGTGTATTAAAAAAAATCGGATATAACTTACATATTTTCTCAAGATGCTGTATGCAGTTGAGAACACTGTACACAGCACCTTGAGAAACGATGTAGGTAAAAGCTGAAAATGTGTTCTTTAATCCACTTAGACATAAATTGTGTTTCCTTCAAGCTCTACGGCATTGCAGTCTCTCCGTTGATTCATTATAGCAGTAAGTAGGAGAGTACCTGCCAGGGTGGAGCTCAAGACACACTGGCCGATGCGTACAGCCATACTGTACTTACCTGAATAAAGTGTAGCTTTTGAGAGCCTTGACTTTATTGACCTTTGCAATTTATGAGTACCTTGTTAGTCTATACTCTAAGAGAGAATGTTTGTCTGTCTGTTTGAAGCTGGAGGCCACAAGGTTGGTGCTAGCCATCACCCAAATTGGCAGAGGGAATGGTCTGATGGTAGATTGTTAGGGAGATGGATGGATGGACAGATGGATAAATAGGGATATAGATAGATTTATGAGTAGATGCATGGAGGGGTGGATAGATAGATGGGCAGATAGATGGATGGATAGATACATTGATGGATGGATAGACAGATGATAAGACAGATAAATAAATGATAGGCAGATGGATAAATAAATGGATATATGGATGGATAGATAGGTAGATGGGTGAATAGGAAGATGGATAAACAGATGGCTAGATAGGGGGATAGATAAATAGACAGAGGAACAAATAGATGAATAGATAAATAGATAGATGGATGGCCATAGATGGATGGATGGAAAGATTGATGAGATAGATATATAAATGCAGATAGATGGATAAATGGGAAACAGTACAGAGAGGTTCTAGGGAACAAGGGGCACCCTCCCTAGTATATCTATACTACAATTGAGATTGTCTGTCTGACTGTTCAAAGTTGGAGGCCACAAGGTTTAGGCTAACCTCACCCAAATTGACAGAGGGAATGGTCTGGGGTACGGGATGAACATAGGCTGGTCGGTGTTGCCATAATTCAAAAGGGAAGAGCGTGTCAGTGCCCCATTCAGACCCCCACGACGATTTTAGCCATGCCGGACAGCTTCACAGCTAAATATTTTCAAAACAGACTATTCATACAATCTGTAGGAGTGAGGTGTTGATGCTGCTTGTCATCTTGAATCATGAAGGTGAAGAGTTACTACGTGTAGACTCGAGTGACAATACCAGCATCACAAGAGCATGGAAATGCAGTCACATTTGAGTGTTCCATGAATAATGATGAGTTAACAAAATTAATATACAGTATATTATATATAATAATTATATAATAATTCTAATAATAATTATAATTAATAATTATAATAATAACAAACTCTGCTTTCAGACAACACTCAGTCCTCTTGTTTAAATCCCTTAACATGCTAAATATTAACTCGCTCTACACTTTCTCTTGTATCAACTACATTTACGAAACCCTGTTCTTAAATGCAAACCATGCTCTAAAACTCTCCCTGGACAGATGTAATAGGACCCATTATCACCACATCAGAAATAAATATCTCTTTGATATCTCCAGGTTCAAATGTAATCTGTGTAAACACTATGCAAATAAAGGGACCTAGTCTATGGAACTCACTCCCTAATGAATTGAAAAGCTGTCCAACTTTTGCCTTATTCAAAAACAAAAATAAAAAGTACCTAATTTCATCTTCATAGTTTCTTACACTGAGCTTTAAATTTGCTCTGTATCTAGTGTTACCCAATCTTCCAATCTTTATGTACTTAATCCAACCAACTTTACCATTGTGATTATTGCTGTCTTCTTTTATGTGCTAGCTATATGCTGTATTGTGCTTATTAATTTTTGTTAAATTACCATTCAAACTGTCAATGCAATCAATCTGAGCTACCTATGTGCTTTAATATACAGTACCTACAAATTTCTCTTATCTTTTATTTTTTTTTCTTGCACTGTACCTGTTATCATTTTTATAAATTTTGCTAGTATTTACCTACTTAAAATTTTCATAGATTAAGGACCTGCCCAAAATGCTTCGCATACTAGTGGCTTTACAAGAATACAATTATTTTATTACCCTGTTAATTAACCATTACTAAGCTAATTATCTTCAAGATCATTTTTTTATGATTATTATTATTTTTCTTATTATTTTTTATTTTACATTTATATTGTCAGTCTCTACTGATTTTTTGTGTTTTATTTTATGTAACTTCTGTGTCCTCCCTGGCTATCTATTGGATCTTTATTTTACTTCTAAATTGTTACTATTTTATTGTATCTGCTTTTATTCTTGTGTTTTGCTTTATCGTGTATCTTGTATCGTGATCCCTCTGCATCTCTATGCACACTGATATTGATCCTGATCAAAATCTTCTGTCTCATATCTATACCAACCAGCACATTGATCATCATTATTGCAAGTATTTCACAGCACACCAGGCTAAAAACAAACTCCAAAATAGCACCTGTCTATCAGTTTATAACCAAAATGTTAGATCACTTGGTAAACATTTTGACGATTTAAATGCACTACTCACAGCACTAGGTACTAACCTATCGTTCATTATTTTAACAGAAACTTGGCTAAATAAAGACTATACCCAACTCTACAACTTAGCTGGTTATAAAGCCATTCATAACTGTAGGCCTAATAAAAAAGGTGGTGGCACAGCTATATATTACCGAGATACATTTATCTGCAACAGTGTTATTAGTGACAGAGATGACTACTGTGAATATACTTTTGCTCAGTTTACAATTAAATCCCTTAAATCCTCTTTGACTATTGGAGCCATCTATAGATTTCCTAATACTAACATAGCTTCTTTCTCAGACAACCTAAGGAATCTTATTATAAACAACAATCTCAACAAAAACCACATCATTCTGGGAGGAGACTTTAATATTGACCTGGGTCAACAAAACTGCTCTCAAGTTGACTATTTCCTTAACAGCATGAACTCCTGTATGCTAATCCCCACTATCACCAAACCTACCCGAGTCACTCAAACATCAGCCACTACCTTGGACCACATATGGACAAACATAACAGCTCCCCTTGTATCTGGTATAATCTACGACAGAACAACTGACCACTATCCTACCTTTCTCATAGCGAACATGGACATAACACCACCAAAAAGCAAGAAATTTTCATTTAGGCTACACAGTGAATCAGCTTTAGACAATCTTACAGAGGCACTTCACAATATTAACTGGGATTCTGAATTCATTAATACCCATGATATAAATTCATTAGCTAACCTCTTCCTCTCCAAAACTCTAAGCCTCTACAACCTTCATTGTCCCCTTCTTACAAAGCAAGTAACTGACAAAAGATTAAACAATCCATGGCTCACAAATGGCATTCTCAACTCAATCAACAAGAAACATGAATATGAAAAGAAAGTTAGGATTGGCCTAGTTTCAAGGGAAGTAGCTAAAAGGTACTCATCAATGCTTACCAGTATCATAAGAAAGGCAAAACTTGCATATTATGTGAATAGATTCAATGAAGCAAAAGGTAACATGAAAAACACTTGGAAAACTATCTCTAGTATCCTAGGAACTAAACAACACTCACATAACCAAATAAAACTCTACAAGGATGGGGATATACCGTCAACTGATTTAGAAATGGCAAATGAATTTAATAGTTTCTTTTCATCGGTTGGTGCTAATCTTGCCAGTAAAATCCCACAGACTCAGACACATATTAACACATATCTCTCAGGCAGCTATCCAAACTCTCTTCTCCTTTCACCAATCAGCCCGGCAGATGTTGTGTCCATCATACACTCTCTAAAAACCAAGGCAGGGAACACCAGTGAAATTCCGTCCATTGTGTACAAGAGAGCCTCCCATGCCCTTGCCCCACCCATAGCACTACTGTTCAACAAATCTATAGAGTGTCACACCTTCCCTGATATCCTCAAAAAAGCAAGAGTAACGCCAGTCCATAAAGGAGGCAATCCGGCGGACATAAACAATTATAGACCAATATCAAATCTACCCATTCTATCAAAAATATTTGAAAAAATTATTTACAAACAGCTCTATTCCTACCTCGTAAAATTCGACATACTCAGCCCCTGCCAGTTTGGCTTCCGGTCCCAAAAGAGTACCAATGATGCAATCATTAGTCTCCTTGACATTATCTACTCAGCCCTTGACAAAAATGAGTTTCCGATTGGACTCTTCATTGACCTAAGAAAAGCCTTTGATACTGTTAATCACAACTACCTCTTATTTAAACTCCAGCATTATGGAATCCGAGGCCTTGCCCTTGACTACATCCGATCCTATCTTAGTGACAGACACCAATATGTAACCATCAATGATACAACTTCTTCCACTCTACCAATTACCGTTGGAGTGCCACAGGGCAGCATCTTAGGACCTCTTCTATTTCTTATATATATAAACGATCTGCCTAATGTCTCTAATATTCTCAAACCTATATTGTTTGCTGACGATACTACCCTTATCTACTCAAACCTCAACCCACATACACTAAATAATGTTGTGAATAATGAATTAAAAAAAGTCCACTTATGGATGTCAACGAACAAACTAACATTAAACATCGAAAAGACTTACTACATCTTATTTGGAAACAAATCATCAAATGCAATTCAGCTACAGATAGACAACATTAACATCAGTAATAAAAATGATGGCAAGTTTCTTGGCCTATTCCTAGACAAGAGACTCAACTTCAGCACCCACATTCAACACATAACTAAGAAAGTCTCTAAGACAGTTGGTATACTCTCCAAAATCAGATATTATGTTCCTAACTCTGCTCTCCTCTCACTATATTATGCACTAATCTACCCCTATCTTAATTATGGTATCTGTGCATGGTCAGACTTAATCAAACTTAATCTGTGTAAACACTCTATGCAAATTAAGGGACCTAGTCTATGGAACTCACTCCCTAGTGAATTGAAAAACTGTAAAACTTTTGCCTTATTTAAAAGCAAAACCAAAAAGTACCTAACTTCATCTATTTAGTTTCCTACACTGAGCTTTAAATTTGCTCTGTACCTAGTGGTACCCAATCTCCTAATTTTTATGTAATATCAAACAACCTTATCATTGTGTTCATTGCTGTCTTCTTTTATGTGCTAGCCATATGCTGTATTGTGACTACCAATTTTTGTCAACTACCATTCAAGCTGTCATTGCAATCAATCTTATATTGTTTCTGCTGTATTGTGCCTACCAATTTGTTGTCAACTACCATTTTAAGCTGTCATTGCAATCAATCATAGCTACCTATGTGCTTTAATATACTGTACCT